AAAGTTGATCAGCGAAAACACAAAAGATTGCCATTGTGTTTATTTTAGAATATTTCAGCCCACACAATCAATTAGGCAACATACACAGCCTAAAATCCAGAAAATGAAGCAGTGGGTTGTCTATGCCAGAAAAACAGCATTCGGCCCCACGCCGGAGAGGTGTGACAGATCATGTTACAAGCAAGGCTAAATGCTAATGTAATTCCACATGAGCCAGGTTTAAAGAGATCCAATCGACCATTCCTGATACCCAGTGTCGTCGTGTCTAAAGAAGATGACGTTCCTCCTCTCATTGTCTCCTTAATTCACCAAAATTGCCACTTAGAGCCGCTCCAAGATGTGCGTTTCATCTCCAAGCTTCCTCTGGTCTCTGCTAGTCAGTTCATTTTTACTTCCTCCAAGAGTGCTAGCACTTCATTAACCTTGCCAGGCTCAAGATAAGAGAGGTAGAGAATCAAAAGCAGCCAGCCAACAGAGAGAAAAGACAGCACAGTCTCCACCGCACAGCGGCCATCAAATAGACATAAGCATGACCACACACACACACACAGTATCCCATGCAAAACACTCAATGAGCTCTCTTTAGCATATCAGTGCTGCTTGTGAGTCTATCATTATTAGCACTAGACAGACAGACACACACACACTTCTCTGTGAAATGTTAACCCTAGTATACATTGTGAATAGGGTGTGCTTTTTCAAATACAACAGCAAAATATTCAATAGATTTTATTTATAAAATATGAATACAGCTTCTACTGTATGTGATCCTTTGCCACTGCCATTCTATATATATATTTTCAGTAGGAGACATTTATTCATAGTTTTGTGGCCAATTTGGAATTTTTCTGAATATATAATCGCATGCACACTCCATGGACTACTCAATTTGTGAATCAATGCCCCTTAAATTAATTTATTGGCAAAGCGGTTAATTTCTTAATTTTAGTAATGTCAAATTGATTAATCACAACTTAAATAAAAGTCTGTTTTATTTATATATATATATATTTTTTATTTATTTATCTAACACTCAGTCTATAGACAAGCAACATGTCTCCCATCCATTAGCTCTAGTGCTTTTCTCTCCTGAAGCCATTATTTTCATTGAGACTGTTTTTAACACTCAAATTAAAAGCAGTTACTGTTGTTCATCTGAATGCTGCTGTATGTGACATGTGGGTGTATGAGCCATCCACGTCCGTCGAAACCTCTCCTCCTCTGTAGGGTCGACGTGACTCGTGAAACGTGTCAGCATATTGATGCTGAC